AGATGAAATAACTATTGGGACTATATGGCTGGTTTCTGCTCTCCATTGACGCTTGAGTTTATAGCTAAATCTTGACATTTGTAAGTTTTTCAGATATGGTGGATTGTATGTTATGAGTATTTGGTATGGCAATGTCAATAAGGTAATTAGTTTTGTTATTTTTGTCATACACTGTGATATCGGGCCTATTGAAGTGAAATAGTTTTATCCGTGATAATGGTCCTGTCCCAGTAGATTCTGTGATTATTGTTTTCTAATATGACGTCCGGTTCATATTTGTAATATTGTGTCATTTTTTGTATGAATTTGAATTTTAGTGCAATATATTGGTGTATTATGGAGGCGACCTGGTCATGCCGATGCTTATAGACGGTTTGTGCAAGGGCTCTATAGGCGAATGTTATGTGTTGTATGTTTTCGGGGCTAGAATGGCAATGTATGCAAGTATCAGATGTGTATGTAAAAACTTCTGTTGACATGAGGCGATCTACTCTTTTACGTCAGTGATCCGCTCGTTGCGTTGTGTGTTTCGTTCTGCAAGGTTAAGTGGTGTGAGGCGTTTGTCGGCTATGGTTACTATTTCGTGGAGAAGTGAGTAATGTGAGTGTAGTGTGAGTGTGAGTGAGTTGATAGAAATATTGTTGAAGGGATTTGATTTGTTTATTGTGCAAGTTGAGGACATCTTTTATACCTCGTCCTCCTCGGATCTTGAAAGAATCATCCTTTGCACCCAGGATCTAGGGTGGTGCTTGCGGTGAGTCGTTAGAGTGGTATTTATAATACGTTGCAGATTGATAAGGTCACCTTGAGTCCAGTTTATTATACCAAATGAATATGCCAGTATGAGAATTGCGTAACTATTGATTGCTTTTGACATGTTGCGGGAGTTGAGTTGAGACCGGAATATACTATTGAGCCGATGTTTAAATTTCTTTTTTAGACTTTCTTTCGTTTCCTTTTGATGGATCTGTCGCGCTTGTTGGAAACCTAAGTATTTATATGAGGCGTGGGGTTCTAAAGATTCGATCGTGTCTCCTGTCACTAGCCTATAGCTGTTGGTGTTAATTTTTCTATTCTTAACCGAGAACGTTTTACACTTGTCAATCCCAAACTCAAATTGGGTGGGTGGTTGGAAAAATTGGTTGATGTCTGCGAGGTGATGTAATGACTGTGTAGTGTTACTGTATAGTTTTATGTCAGCCATGTACATCAGGTGTGTTAAAGTGGTGTGTTTGTGTGGTGTGATGATAGAGTAACCATAATTGGTTTTATTCAGCATTTGCGAGAGAGGTTTTAATGCGGGACAGAACCATACAGAGTTAAGCGCATCCCCTTGGAAGATTCCTCGACGTATTGGAATTTCTGATGTTTCTATACAAGAAGTTCCTATGGTTTTTAATGTAGTTGTCCAGTGCTGCATTGAGTTTCCAAGAAAATGTATTAGTTGTGGGTGAATTTTATGTGTTGAAGTACATGTAGGAGCCAGCTGTGCGGTACGGAGTCGAATGATTTTCGGTGTCAATATACATTGTATTGATGTTCTTCTTTTTAGAAATAGCATGTTTCATTGCTACGGAGTCTATTATGAGTTGCTCTTTACGCCCCTGACTACTTTTTCGACATCCTATTTGTTGTTCAGTAAGGACGTTGTTTGTGGCTATATGTTGATGTAAGAGTTCGGCTATACATGCTGTAAGAAGTTTATAAATGGTTTGGAGACATGTTTGATTTAGATGATCTGCGTCTTTCGAAATCATGTAGGTGAGGCCTTGTGTAATGTATCGGGGCATTATGTCTGGCTTTTGTATAAAGTCATTTATACGGTTACGAAGTAGAAGGTGAATTGTTGTAAGTTTCTTGTACCAGTAGTTATGTATACGGTCACTTCCGGGTGCTTTCCAGCTATGGTTTTTTTTTAATATATGCACAAATACTTCCTGAGTTATTTGTTCAAATGCCATTGGTGTGATAGAATCAGTTACTTCGAAATCTGTGTTCAGCCATTCTGCTTCAGTGTTGTGGTAAGCCGGTGCAGTGGCTGGTGGTAATGGTGCATCTTGCCTATTTCTATGTGTGTCGTGTTGCGTGTCTGAAGTCAGGCTCCTATAAAACTGTTTTTCATTATTGATAAACTGGCTATTTTGTGACTTCCTAAGTGTACAGTTAAAGTATCTTTTTAATCTGCTAGATGCTGCATTCAGTTTTTGTTTAAGTGTGTTAAGGAATTGTTCATCGCTTAAATTCGGTTCGTCGTGCCGCGAATGTATTTGGTATTTATTTTTTATTGCTTCTACTGTCGCCTCTACACGTTGGCCAACACAGTGGCGAACGTAGTGGCGAATATATTGGCCGAGAGTTGGTGACGGCGTCCACACGTTGGAAGGTCGTTCAGTTTACTTCGGTTCGGGCCAATGTGCGGACGAACGACGGCTCCGTGGCGCAGTGGCTTAGCAATGAGTAGCTGTGCCGGGGGCCGCGGGTTTGAATCCCGCACGGAACATGTATTTGTATAAAAGTAAAGTAAAGTAAAGTTACAGCCTATATACGTCCCACTGCTGGGCTCAGGCCTCCCCTCATTTCTGAGAGGGTTTAGGGCAAGGAAGTGTCCGCAGCGCTGCCCAAATGCGTGTTGACGAACTTCACATGTCTTCGAAATATTTTTTTTCTTATTCCTCAGACGTGCAGGTTTCCTCACGATATTTTCCTTCTCCGCCGAGCACGTGGTAAATCAGCACTTAAAATTGCAATTAACAATTTCATTGGTGCCGGCGGGGATCGAACCCGGGTTACTCGCGTTCTGTTATGTTTACAGCGAGCGTTAACCACTGAGCTACCACGGCCTATATCCTACAAATAATTGTTTTGGGTCTGGATGTGTGTCCTTGTGCAATTTATGTTTGCAAGCTGCCTCCGCGATACAGGAGAAAATCCAAGTGCGGGGGTAACGTTTTTATAAAATAATTATAAAAGAATAGTGGATATTAATGGGGCTGTAAATAGAAATACGATTGAATAAAACTATTATTTACAGGGGGACAGTCCCCCCCCGTGACCATGGGCGCTGTAAAGCACCCGAAACGTCGGGATAATAATAAAAATAAATTAAAGTAATTAGACGCGATAAAATCCGTAAATAATAGTTTTATTCAATGTGTAGTGTTCGCGTAAATTTAAGAAATCATTATAGAAATACTATATACGATTAGCTTTATTTGTTCTTTACATGCATCATAAACTGGAATAAATAACATTAATAAGAACTTAACTTATTTTAAAGTTAAAGGAGTTATAATCGATTAGTCTATGTTTTAAAATTGGGTTTTGATTTTAACGTTTAGCACAATATGTACTTGCATTTCTATCAGACATTTGATGTATATAAAAAACACCTTATAATTTATTTGGTAATTAAATTATTTTTTGAGAAAGATAAAAACAATAGCAATAAATATAATTAACACTGAGTTAATAATAGGTACTAATTATAACTTAGAACATAAATGAAAAACTCATGACGAGCAAAGTGGCTCAGGACCATGCTTTGCGGCAGTCTGTTTAGGAGGATGTTCAGTAGTGGACTTGTGAAGAGCTGTAATAATGATGATGATTCGAAAACTTGCACGATTGAATTATAAGAAATCGACGTTTTTTTATAGGATAGGGTGACAAACGAGCACACAGTCCACCTGATGGTAAGTAGTTACTGCGGCCCATAGACATCTACATCTATCCTTGATTACGAATCAAAATGCATATGCGTTCTCACCCGTGAGAACTAAGATGAAATGACTCGTTTCCTTTAAAAAGGGTCTCTGGTTCTCTACACTCACTATACGAAACACAGCATCATTAAGCTACTATTTTACGTAATTAAAACCCTACCCTAAACACTGATTTTAAAAAAAATAATTAAATCGCGCTAATTAAAGTAGTAGGAATGTTTAAAGTTGAAATTGGCACTAAAAGGCTGGTAATTGGGGCATCCATCCTACAAAGCTTGAATATAAAATTTTAAATCAGATGCGTGTAATCACTCTGGGAGCTTGTAGCAAACTAAACGCGCGGCCAACGTGTGGACGCGGCAACCAAACTCTGCCAACAATCCTTTGATCTTTTGTAAAAAACCGACACCACACGGATCTCGCGCCAACTTGTGGGCCATCGTCCCAATACATACCAATGAAGCCCAAACACCCCGTCTACACGTTGGCCAATGCTATTGGCCACTACATTCGCCACTGTGTTGGCCAACGTGTAGAAGCGCCGTACCACAAACTAATAAGATGGCTTCTACTAAAGGGGTGAGTCTATTGCTTCTATTGCCTTTGGTATATTCTGTTAGACTTCCAATGTCTCTTCTGAAATCCAATATCTTTTTTCAACAATTATTATTATTATTTATTAATAAATAAAATATAAATTATGTTTTTTACAATTTTAATAATTTTAAATTTAATAATTATTACAAATATAAATTATTAATTATTGTTGATTTATTATTATTTTTTTAACAATGTTTCACCATTTTATAATGTTTCTTTTTGTCAATAATTAAAAAAATTACTTCGCAGATACTGGGTACTTACCGATGGCAGCGCGGTTATAAATTCTACAAATTTTCAGGGACAGGCGGGCTATGCTTTAGCACGTAGCGATCGTTTTCCTTTTCTCTAACCTCCATGGCTCTAAGGTTACAGACCAAAGAATATATAACAATGTTATTACTATTTATTATAGTTTCCTTTACTCGTTCTTGGTTATTGGTAGTCGTTTATGGATTTTACCGTTGTTTCGTCACAACACATTTTTGGCACTGGTGATATGTCAAATTCCTGACTAAACTTGTCTGGGTCTTTGGGACAAATTGTGTTTGTTTGTTCATAAATTATATATTTTTCCTAATTTATATGTACTGTTTTCCTTTAGTGAATGTACCTTGTGTGAAATTTATATGTGTTTTGTGTAAAGTGCCAAGTTAATGTCTCGCCTACACTGGAATTATGAATCAGGTTGATCAAAATATAAACAAAGATATGATTGATTCTGATTTGATTGACGTGGAGTCACTGGATTTTTCTGATGATCAAACCTGGTGAGTAACACAAATAAATGAATAAAAATTGTCTATCGGAATTTTGTCAAAAACGTCTTTGCTAGGTCATCTGTGTCGTCTTAATTTGACACTTTTCAGACCTAACAATCTGTTTTTCGCCGGCAATAAAATTTAACATTACTGAAATGCAAGAAAGGTTTAATATCTTATATTCATCCGTTACTAGATGATGCACATTACTTAATGCTTGCATTTGAAGTTTTTCTACTTATTGGCCTCCTTGTAAAATCCCTGCTTCATTTTATTTTCAAATGAATCCCTAATGTTTTGTTTTCATTAATTTCATTATTTACTCATTCTCTAAAAGTTATAACGTTTAACTATTTGAATTATTATAGATAAAGGATGTATATGTATATTTTTATTTATCTATTTATTATGATCTTTATTTTTGTGTTCCTAGATAAAATTATTATTTGAAATTTGTTGTACTTCTTATCACAAAGATAAGATTTTTTAACAATTGTATAATCTTTGTATTAGTGTTGTATTAAAGATGAATGCAACAAAGCTATCATTTATTAGCACTCATAGGTACCACGAGGGACCATGGTACCTGAAACCGGGTTGTCTGGTGCTCCTCACAACATAATCTAATGCCATGCTTAATGCATCTTGTCTTTGTCAAACAAAAAACACAATGAATTGATATTTTAAAATTAAAAAGAATCTTTGTATTAGTGTTGTATTAAAGATGAATGCAACAAAGCAAGTATCATTTATTAGCCACTCAAGTGCCACGGGGGACCATGGTACCTGAAACCAAAAATGGGTTGTCTGGTACAAGGGTCCCTCACAACATAGTCTAATAAAATGCCATGAAAAATCTAATAATGCATCTTGTCTATAAAAATCATTTGATATAGTCCATCCCTATGAAATTATTCAATGAAATACAAGGTTGGTAGCAATACTAAAGCAGGTCAATCAAAAAGAAAGACAAATGAGTTAACAATGTGTGATAATAATATTGTAAACATAATTAAAAGATATAAAGGTAAGGGTTTTCATCAAATAAATATTTTTATAGAGAAATGTCAGTTTTTGTTTTTCAAGTTTAACCTTTTTTTTTTAGAGATTCAAATTAAAATTATGCTTCTTGATTTTTAGATAGTTAGGTTTCTTAATTATTCAGCTTTATAACTGTATTTTTTATTTCTATGTAGCACATAGTTTGCAAACGACATGTGTTTTTATCAATAAGGTTGGAAATGGTCAAAAAACATTTAGTTGGCAGCACTGCTCTGGTGCTTGATCGGTAATAGTTTCTTAAAAATACTTTTACAAAAATTATGTTAAAAAAATTAGTTGAAAATTTGTGGATAAACATTATAGACAACTTACATTTATATGTATTTTAGTGAAAAATTGAATATCAATTTAAAAATAAATTTGATTCACCACTGACTATGATTGCAATGCAAGCCCTGTAAATTCCTATGTTTATATCCCTGTAAATGCTCGTTTAATGTCACTCAAGGCACACATCATGCAACATACAACACATTAAGTTTATCATCCTTAGAGTATTACAATATTAATTTAATAATTTGTCCCAATAATAAACTTAGTATCTATTATTTGCAGGTTGTATGTAGTGCCAGATGACTCCGGCCAAAGAGTTGATGTGATAGAGTGGAATCTATCCTGTGATTGGCCCATCAATGAGGATTGTGAATATTTGAAATCAGAAAAAGAACTTTATTTGGTGTTAGATAATTTATTAAAATGTAAGTATTGTAACATTATTTTTTTCATTAATTTATAATTTAAATATGAAAATAATTATAAGAAATTGGAATAAATAACAGTGCTTGTGTGTGCACTGTAATTCAGTCCCACAGTCAATGTCAACCGAGCCTTCAGTCACTAGAACAACATAGTATAAAAAAATATAATCATGTTAAAACTAAAGGAGAGACAAAAGCATTATTATCTTTATGTATTATTACAACTTAGGCATTACCATTATTGACTATTATGTACCTGTTTGTAATTCCAAGGTATTTCATATCTTTTTATGCACTTTTTGTAACTACCTAGAAATAAAAAATCAAGTATAATTATTAGTAATAGCTAAATTTTTAAATGCTATAATCATTTGCTATGATAGCTCAGTTGTGAATATGAAAGGTAACAATAATAATACTTTAAAGCAAGTCGTCCATTGGAGGCTGACCATGGTAATGTAAGAATTGTATGAGGTGTCAATGGAAACAAAACCAGAAAATGGGCAGCAGGAACCCGTCTGTAATGAACTCTTAGCGTTTAACTGGCCGGGCCGCGATGAGACGCGAGCATTTTTGCATACTGCATCTATTACAAAAGGTGGATCGGGCCGTTTGCCGACAATCATAGCTGAGACAAGTGAGGCTGTCTCTAATAAACGCAGAGCTCAACAAAATGTTCCTGTTCCAGAGACTTTAACTATCATCGTCATTATAGTCCATTACAAGTCTACTGAGGATGATGATAATTTGGAATTCTTTGGGATACTACCATGAATCAACAACTTTCTGTGTAATGCCATTGTAAGAAAACCAATTGCCACGAACTTTCTCATGGTTCACAAAATAGTCAGCAAGACATATGCCATGCCAAATGGTAGAATAATCACATCAGGAAATGGCCTGTGTCTCAGAAGATGGCACTTGCTGTGTACAGTGAACATTAGTTCACCAAGCAAGCATCATAATGATGTGGTAAATTGTCTACAAATGAATGAGGACTATGCCCAGCAGTTCACTTTTTCTCTTGTATCATTGGTAAACATCAATTTTTACTAATGTCTAAGATTGTTTAGTAGTAAACAATTCATGTATGAAAAAGATAAGGTTTGGTGTCTTCATGTTCAAGTATTTAGTACCAGGGCTAATGAGTTTGTTCAGTGTTAGAAAAAGTTATAATTTTTTTCAGGGATGACACTTAGAAAGTAAAACATTATCTAAATACGAAATTTCAACCAAATATTTAGAGCTGTTTCCAAGAAATCACTTCTTGTGTAATCTGTTATCTTTTGGATCATATGCTGATTAAACTTTTAGAAAATAAATATACATTATAGAAAGTGCTTGCAATCACTGCTTCAAGATACTGTAAGCTGGTTCAGCATAGATTAGAACAAAAATTTATAATAAACTGAAGGATACAGTTTCCACATCAGTGGCTAGTACATCACTTCCCCCCTTCAATTACCAATGATAAAGTCATGATTTTGGAATCATTGAAGGAACTCAGCACTTAGCTTAATGACCTAAGTTCTGTCTCCAAATGTATAGGTCTTAAAATAATCATGGACATGACAATGGTCTGGTATGTAATGTAATGTATGTAATGGAATGGTAATCCAGACACTGAAAATGAGACATAACTATGGTTACTTCACATAACAAAATATATTCTACTAGCTGTCACCGTGACTTCACTAGTGTGGTATTTGATTTGTGACACACAGACATTATCAGCAATTGGAGTGAGGAAGAGAGTTATGCAGGCTCAAGATGTTATTTTGCCTCTGAAGTTGCGTTGTTGTTGCGGGAGACTTAGTAGCCGCAGCTTGGTCAACCATGATGAACAAAGAGGAGCCCACTTGGTTAGCACAAGGTGTGGGGCCTGAGTTGCACGCTCCTAATGGGCTTTTCCTAGTTCTCCGGATGCGCGTCGGAAGGCTGGCGAGAGGAGTGTCCTCTCCATCTACCCATATTGCAAGGCGCCGCTTACTCTGCATTCCGCGGCCGATACTTGGTTGTTGGCAGAAACAAAGGGCAGATCCGCCCCTAGGGTCGAGAAGGCTGGCGCTTTCGAATGCTCAAATTTTCTGGTTCCATGGCCTCGTCGTACTCGTACCGGACGCAGAATGGTCTGCTGGGCAAGCAGAAGTATATGCCGGGAAGTAAGGTGTGCCTGATATTCTGGTGCGCTTTAACTGAGAAGTAGAATGAGCAAGAGTTGTTCTCTTCCGAGGAGGAGCGGCCAGCACAGGTGGGGTCGCAGATGTGTGCAAAAGCGTTCCCGTGACTTTGTCAATATGTGACGTTCCAAACACCATGGGTTTTCGTCGGTGCGAATCCGTCATAACCCACATATCAATTTTCAAATTTCTATCTTCAAATAATCTTTTAAAGCTACAGAAAATCCATATAGGGCCCATAATAACTTACATCCCTTATCATACCCCCTAAGAAACATATTATTATTATTATTATTATTACTTAACAGGCTAGCAGTTGAAACAACTGATGTAAGCCCATATCCTATTTTCAAATGTGTAATTATTCTAATTTTAGTTGTTTGTCTAATCTGTTCTTGAATTGGTTAGGTTGTGCAGATATTACTTCCGATGACAGCTTGTTCCATGCTTCAACCACTCTTTGGCTAAAAAAGTGCTTGTGTGGGTTGTTATGTGACACGGTTTTGGTTAATTTGAAGTGATGTCCCCTAAGATGTGTGTTTGTTGAGTACTGGAATAAATCTCTGTCAAAATTTTCCAGATCGTAGTGTCCATGTATAATTTTATATGCTTCGATCAAGTCTCCCCGTTCTCTGCGATCCTTCAGTGTCGTTAATTTAAGCTTATTCAACCTTTCCTCATATGGTATGTTTTTCAATACTCTAGGGACCTTTGAAAATCTACGTTGAACTTTCTCCAGTAACTCAATATCCTTTTTGAAATAGGGGCTCCAGATTTGGAACGCATACACCAAAATAGGTCGAATGTATGCCTTATGTATTTTTAGCATCATTTCTGGTGTAAGATGTCCGAAGGCTTTTCTAATCAGGTAAATAAAACTATTTGCTTTTTTAGTTATAACTGTTATATGATGATTCCATTTTAAATCGTTACTTATATGCACACCTAAGTCTTTTTGTACTTTAACTTCTTCCAAAGGTATATCATCGATTTTATATATTAATCGAGGGTTTCTGTTTCCTATATGGAGGACTGTGCATTTATTTATATTTAATTTAATAAGCCACCTTTTTGACCAATCTAATATTTTAATTAGATCTGCTTGAAGGCGATCGAAGTCCACTAGTGGGTTTGCGAATATCTTCGTGTCATCAGCGAACATACTTACATTACAACTCAAGCTTTTTGGTAGATCAAAGGTAAACAGTATAAACAATACCGGTCCCAGTACAGAACCTTGTGGCACACCGCTTTGTATTTCTTTTTCATCTGACAATGTATCGCTAATCCTTACTCTGAAGGTTCTTTGTCGTAGAAAACTCTCAATCCAAGTTAACAGTTTCCCTCGAATACCAACATATTCCAATTTATGTAATAGCCTGCCTATTGGTACTTTATCAAAAGCTTTTTCGTAATCCAGATATATAACATCTATTGGTTCTCGATCATTTTGACTGTTGACCCAGGATGATAAGCAAGACATCAAGCTGGAAATCGTTGATCTATGAGGATAGAAACCATGTTGCTGTTTACCAATAGTTTGTTGTTTGTTAAGGAACTGTCTCATGTGCTTAACTATTATCTTTTCTATGACTTTGCACACCACACTAGTTAAGCTTATCGGTCTATAATTTGCAGGATCTAATTTGTTTCCCTTTTTGTAAACAGGAGTCACTAAAGCCGTTTTCCATAAATAAGGCAAAACTCCTTTGTCGTATGATTTTTGCATTACTGATGCTAGGTAACTATCAATCCCGCAGTTCTTTAAAACATGTACGGGTATTTCGTCGGGGCCAGGTGAAGAGTCTATAATCATTTCTTTGATAGCAGCTTGTACTTTGGATTCTGTGAACATGATGTCCTCCATAACTTCAGTTGCTCTTAGGTTTGGGTCAAGCGCAGGAAGTTCTTCTAGTGGTTCTCTTTCAAATACATTAGAAAAATGTTCTGCGAATACTTCCGCAACTTTACTCTTTATGTCTTTAGAACGTGCCACAGATTGCCCATTACTGTTCCGTAAAATGTTTGGTGTACTAACTTTAGAGGTGATTTGCTGCCTGATGTACGAGTAAAATTTCTTCTCTAGAGATCTAATAGTTGATTTTCGTAAACTGCCCTTGCCGTGCGCCTTAAATTAGTCAGTTTGTTATTTAGCTTCCTGTATTCCTTATAGATTTTATCTGACCCTGTTACAGTATATCTCTTTCAAATAATTTTTTTTTCTCTTATTAACTCAGATATGTCATTTTTTATCCATGGTTTATTTACTTTGTTAAATGTTTTTACAAGAGGAACATGTGTGTCTATGGCATTAGTTATTGTTTTATGCATTATTCTAAACTGTTCAACTGGACAAAGTACATCTTTAAACATTTTTTTTAAACCGGAGTGAATTTCTTCTTTGATTTTGTTGTAGTCTCCTTTATTAAAGTTCTTTTTAGATTTAGATTGCTGCCTATTCTGTTGTGTTTGTAACTGTATAGTCGATACTAAGCATGCATGATCGCTTTTCCCAATTGCGGCCTCATAATTACTATCAAAGACTCATCGTTTGTCAAGATTAGGTCTAAAGTAGATGGCTGGTGACCCTGGCGAAACCTCGTATATTGATCTACCAATTGGTACAGATTGTTGTTGTTATACCATTGCAAGAAATTGATTTCTTTTGGCAGTAGATACACACAATTTGAAAGTGGCCACTTGACTCCACCAAAGTTAAAGTCACCCATTATTATTACAGTGTTTGACTGGGAAGCCAGTTCTAAATTTTGTAGGAGGAAGTTGTCATGATCGATAGTTGATTCATGCCCTCTATATAGTCCACATAACAGTATTCTTTGAAAACCTACTTCAATGTCTACCCATAAACATTCCCAAGAGTCATACTTCGTATACATATTATATTGTTTATATCATATATTGTTATATCTTTTCAGAAGCTTTAATGAATTTTTACTTTTGATGTTACTAAACTGCAGGACTGGCATACAAACCTTCACCTTCTATTTTATTTTATAGGATTTTTAAAAGTAGCCTGTGTTATTTCCCAGGTTTAAATTTTAGGCTTTCTCTTTAGTCTTTACCAAATGTTTCCAAAATCGGTTTAGTTGTTTAGCCTTGAAACCGTAACAGACAAACAGATTTACTTTCGCATATATTAGTATGAATTAACTTTTATGAATAAGAAAACAATTCATTCTTTTCATAATAAGTTCTATTTCTAGCTCGCTTAATTTATTTGGCGTCACGTAACATGTGGTGTATAATTAAGTTACATTAAGGCACAAACGTGTGTTTCATTTGCAATTTAAAACACCAATGACAACAAATAAAACAAACATCATTACAAAAATATAATTGTTATTTTAATCCAAATATTTTTCTCTTGATGTTAGTACCAGTCTTTTCCAGTCCAGTAGCTTGAAAACGTCTTCCAACGCAGCGGTGAAGAGTTTCGGGGTTATAACATCACCCTGTCTTACACCTCTCTGCAGTTGGATCGGTTTCGAACTCCGGTTCTGTACTCTGATAGCCATCATAGCCCTACTGTACAAACACTTCAGCACTTCGATATACCGACAGTCAACTTGGCACCGCTGAAGGGAGTGTAGCACCGCCCAAATTTCGACGGAATCAAAGGCTTTCTCATAGTCCACATATGCCAGGCAAAGTGGCAAATTGTACTCTTCGGTCTTCTGTACAATCTGCCGCAGAATATGTATGTGGTCTATGGTACTGAAGCCTTTTCGGAAACCGGCTTGTTCAGGAGGCTGGAAGTCGTCGAGTCTGCGTGCGAGACGATTCGTAATGACTCTCGAAAACAGCACGTAGACGCGGCTCAGAAGGGAAATATGTCTGTAGTTCTTCAAGAGAGCGTAATCGCCTTTCTTGAAAAACAAGACCACTGTACATCTGCACCAAGCCTCCGGAGTAGTGCCACCATGAAATACGAAATTGAAGAGATTGACTAAGTACCGGTTTTCCGCCCGCTTTCAAAAACTCCGCTGTAATTCCATCTTCACCTGGGGCCTTGCCGTTTTTAACATGATCTAGAGTCTTCTTTTCTTGCTCAGACTGACTTCCGGGATATCATCGGAATAATGTTGCATTAGACTTGCTTTTGGATCATGACTCACACTTGGGTGTGGCTCCGACGATAATGTGTTCAGCTGCTCATAGAAACTCTTAATCTCACTCAAAATCTCAGGTGTCCCGGAAACGATGCTGCCACACTCATTCTTCAGCTTTGACAATTGACTCTCTCTGGCAGACAGATCTCTGGCAAAGACTTTGGAGCCCTGGTTCCGCTCGATCGCTTCTTTAATACGAGCAGTATTAAAGTTGCGTAAGTCTCGCCGCATGCATTTGGAGATCTGTCTGTTCAGTTGCCTGTATGCTGTCAAATCTGTTGACGATTGCAGCCTCATCTCCCGTCTAACAGCCATGAGATTAAGAGTGTGATCGGAGAGTTTTTGTGGTTCTTCTGCGGCGGGTCTCGCAGAATTTAGCTCCGACCGCGTGGACAGTTTCCACGAGCTTGTCATTCATATCGTCCACTGCATTGCAATCCTCTAGGCACTGAAAGCGGTTTTGTAACTCGAGCTGAAAGGTTTCGGGATTCTGGATTAGAGCACGAGGGGGACGGAGCGATGACTTCATTAGACGAGACCTCTCCAACTTAACGTTTAGGTTCAGCGTGTCTCTAACCATTTGGTGATC